ATAGATACTATCTCAGTCTGTTTCTATCTATCTATCTATCTATCTATCTATCTATCACAGTCTTTTCATCATTTACCGTATATACTCGAAGACCTAATTTTGAAGCTAATTTGACTACAGTAAATGGATATATAGTTTGGTCACCGACGTAGCCACGGCAAACAGTACATATGCTAATTTTATATCTCACTTACAATACGACCCTCTTAAAATTAGCTTCAAAAGTGGCATGATATGCGAGTATATACGCTATCTATCTATCTATCTATCTATCTATCTATCTATCTATCTATCTATCTATCCTAGCATCCATCCTTATCTCTATCTATCTATCTATCTATCTATCTATCTATCTATCTATCCATCCCATTCAGTTCATTATCTATCTATCTATCTATCCTAGCATGTTCCTTATCTATCTATCTATCTATCTATCTATCTATCTATCTATCTCATTCAGTTCATTATCTATCTATCTATCTATCTATCTATCTATCTATCTATCTATCTATCTATCTATCTATCCTAGCATGTTCCTTATCTATCTATCTATCTATCTATCTATCTATCTATCTATCTATCTCATTCAGTTCATTATCTATCTATCTATCTATCTATCTATCTATCTATCTATCTATCTATCTATCTATCTATCTATCCTAGCATGTCTATCCTCTATCTATCTATCTATCTATCTATCTATCTATCTATCTATCTCATTCAGTTCATTATCTATCTATCTATCTATCTATCTATCTCTATCTATCCCGGTCTGTTCCTTATCTATCTATCTAACTAGCTTGCTCAGTCCGTTCCTTATCTATCTATCTATCTATCTATCTATATCTATCTATCTATCTACCGCATTCAGTTCATTATCTATCTATCTATCTATCTATCTATCTATCTATCTATCTATCTATCTATCTATCTATCCCATTCAACTCATTACTTATTCATCTTTCTATCTATATACACCAGCATCTTCTTCCATATCCAGCAAAAGACATTCAAAACAATTCATTGAGAGAGGAGATAATTAATCTCAAAGACGGACATATACCCGCACAAATATTTGCATTCCTTGAATTTTCGTATGAGGTGTTAGGGTCTTTAGAACTTTCTTCAGCTAAAGTTCTGTGTTTAACTTGATTTATTTTAATCTGATGAAGTTCTAAAGGGGGAAAGATGTCACATTAATGTTTCTTTGCATTCACTTTGTTTTTACAATCATATTCTCCCTATACAAGGTCCCGTGGGTCACTGAAGGTAGTGTCTTACGGATTAAGAGGCACAGCTTATGCGTATATCTGTGCAAGATAACGGCCAACCTTGGACTTGAACAGATTATAAATATATTGATCGGGGAAGCAACCTATTGGGAGTCGGGTCTACCATTTATGCACAGATACATTTTCGAAATGAATAGTTAGAGAGATATGGAATAGAAAGACACCTATCCATCACTTAGTTTTTTTTTCTACTTACTTCATATTAGTGAAGTTTGAGATATTTATCCTTGATTACTAACCAGTCTAGGAGAAGGAAAACACTGAATTCAAAACATGACGGGCTGAGCGATTGGAGACCTTGTGCAACACTGTTTACACAAGGCCCCTGTACTGCGCTCTTCCGAAAAGTCTACTGGCACATTGTTTCACCAATATAATCAAATCGTCTAGCTGTTCGGTTCGAAAAACTAAACTACCAGAGCCTCATACGTAGAAAACAATGAAAAAGTCCATTATATATATATATATATATATATATATATATATATATATATATATATATATGCAAAATATATTGAACTTACTCCCACACATAAATGATTTTTTCTCTCGCCATTCATAAATTTATGTTCCAACTACCTCATTCATAAAACCGTCTTACCGCCGTAATTTATTCTGTACGCATGCGCTTATCCTCGGCACATTAACCACGCCTCTGGATACCGGACGCATGCCTATTCATAAATTAACTCTTTTTCTATCACTATCTTCCCTCACACACGGGCGCATATACATACATACATACATACATATATATATATATATATATATATATATATATATATATATATATATATATGCAAAAAAGACGAAAACAAGAAGGACTGCGCAGATAATATAATGAGTATGAAATATCCGTTTGCTGAACCAACGCAGGTTTCGCTAAGAAACGATTACCGTGACATATTAGTAGGATTTAAAGCCCATGAGCTGACATCTAGAACATAGGCAAATGTTTCACGGCTGATGCACCGGCTGCATCGATCAGTTCAGGCTGAAATGTGCATTATCTGGCTGATTCACTGTTCTTCTGATCTGGAATCATTTACAATCTCAAGCTAAAAAAATATACGTTATTTCTGCTTGTTTCCATGTACGACGGTTACGAATCTCTACCTTGGGTCAGACCACACACGCCTTGGTTTTCAGACTCGGCTCAAAGTAATATTCTTTATTTTTCTCTTAGTTCTGCCCGGTTCCGCAGATACCAAACTTGTCGATGGTAGATCGTTGCCGATTCTAACATCAAAGTTGTCGCAGTGTCTGATTTTTGTCTTTGACTTAAACGATTAAAGTGACATGAATATTAAAATTGAATATAAGCAGATGAGTTAACAGTAAGTCAATACGAGATCAAAGTGTAGTGTCTGTCTTCAGACGGACAAACTACATTTTTATTTCTCAGTTGTGTTTCTGACTGCACAACTAATAAATGAAGGATGTCTGACCCCACCTCCCTTATTGCACCAAAGTAATGTAATATCGACTCCAGCACAACGGTAATTAAGGGCCCTGTACCATTTTCGGCTTTAGCCTATTTGCAAACGTTTGGACTCCCCACTTTATGTCGTATCTCGTCAAACTAAGCGGGAACGATGAAATATCAAATGTAATATCTTTTCATGCTTCCTTTAAAAGATATCAGAGAAGATTGATCTTAGAGATTACAACTTTGGTCCAGCGCCTTCTTAACAGCATTAAAGTGGGAATGTTTCTGGATACAAGCAACATCGTAACACTGGTTCGTGGGCGTGGGTAAATTTTGCCTTTTGGCTATATGTACGCCACTAATACCGACCCTATGTCACATCATATCATCGAATGGAGAGTGGTAGTTAAATATCCATAAACAGTATGATTACCGACTTTTAAGCTAGAATCAAAGTGTGATGTAAGTTTTTCTAGTTCCGTGTTTATACTTTCTTGTAGTTCCATCTTTTGGTAAGAAGAGTCATTCCAATGCTTTTAAAACTGCGGTGGCACCCCCACATTGTATAAAAGAAGGGTTTAATGGATATCATCGCCCATAAAACAGGCTCAGAGACTTTTTTTTCCTTATCTCATATTCAGGATTGCTCAGTTCTTCGAACAGATGAATTTTAGTTGATGTTTTCTACCTTGTTCTGATTATTATTTCTTTTCAGATAATTGATGACAACAAGCTTCAAATTAACTCACTCTATGAAAAGGCACGCTTTAATGAAGTCATATATCACGCGAAGTAATCAATTCAAGTGGTCAAACAAAAGACAATCGCCTGATCCGCATAGGGAATATAGTTCGAAAACAATTATTCGAAAAACATTTATTCAAATTGTAAATTATTATAATATACTAGCAGTAGAGCCCGGCGTTGCCCGGGGATATAACAGTAAGAGATAGATCAAGTATCGACCACCCTAAAGACTGAAAAATAAAATTGACAAAGATTATTGTTTAAAGTTGACGGACATGCATGTCTGAATTAGTTTTTATTTTTTTTGCGAATTGGTCAAACCCAAACTCAAACAAAAACATTGTTTTCAATCGTTATCAGTCTCTACCGATTGAATAGAATTTTATTATAAACAATTGTCTTGTAAATGGAATTTTTAAAGCATTCTGAATGTAAAAATAAAGAAAAAAATGTGCAAGACAATAAGAAACACTACCTGCCAAAAAGGGAAGTTTTGCTGAAATCGGTTGAAAAATGTAGGAAATCCGATCCCACATATAAACGAACACACACACACACACACACACACACAAACTCGATATGAGTTGCCCCCCTATCATTCTAACGACAGTGATGCCTCTTAATGGTGTTTTCAAATTGATTTTTTGGCGCTGTCAAAACCACCACAAGGTAAAACAATTTTGTTGAAATCGTGTTTTTCCCATTTTTGGTTGCTATCAAACCACCAATGGTGTTTTCAAATTGGTAAAACAATTGTTTTTTCCCATTTTTGGCGCTTCAAAAAACACCACAAGGTAATTTACGTCCTGTGAAGTTTTGTTGAAATCGGTTGAAAAATGTAGGAAATCCGATCCAATATATAAACGTACAGATACACACACACACACACACACACAACCTGGGTCTTATAATAAGTATGATTGATGTATGTATGATGTACCGTAAAACCTGGTATTAATTATGCAAAAATAAAAAAAATATGGTATTAATTATGTTTTATTAAGACATCGGACGTTAATTATATGTCTATAGAAATCTGTTATTAATTGCTAGTTTATAAAAATAAAAATAAAATCACATGAAAAATACGGGATATCAGTAAATGCGGGTCAGTTTTCTCACTGAGGAAAATAATAGTTGAGGCAAGAGAGATGTTATTTTACAGAAGGATGATGAGCATGTGAGACAGGAGGAAGCTTTAAGTAAAAAGAAAAAAAAACGAGAACAAAAACGACACTTGTACTTAAAAACAGAAATTGTCAGTTGTCCATACATGAACACATAATGTGGCAAGAGGGCTTGGAGAATTTGACACACTCAGAGGCAGAGGGAAATAGTGAAAAACACTTTATCTGAATTTCAGAGAGCTTTTATTTTTTAATCCTTTCACTCGAAGCAATACAATAAAGCCACTAAGATACAAGGGGTTACTGAGAGTGAAAGACGCAGAGTGGACAATAAAAGAACAACAACGTGCGAGGTAACAAAGATTGATAATACATTTCATTTTTTGAAGATCGTATTTGAGAGGAATGCAAAAAACATATTTCCAGAAGAGATTGCCACATCTATCTATCTATCTATCTATCTATCTATCTATCTGTCCATATCTATCTAAGTCTGTCCATATCTATCTATCTATCTATCTATCTATCTCAGCCTTTTCATATCTATCTATCTATCTATCTATCTATCTATCTATCTATATATCTATCTGTCGCAGCCTTTTCATATCTATCTATCTATCTATCTATCTATTTGTTTCAGCATTTTCATATGTATCTCAGTTTATCTATCTATCTATCTATCTGTCTGTCGTAGCCTTTTCATATCTATCTATCTATCTATTTATCTCACTTTTTTCAGATCTTTCTATCTATCTCTCTAAGTCTGTCCATATCTATCTATCTATCTATCTGTTTCAGCGTTTTCATATGTATCTCAGCTGTTCATGATCTATCTATCTATCTACGTATCTGTCTCAGCCTTTTCATATCTATCTATTTAATTCACCATTTTCATATGTATCTCAGCTGTTTATCTATCTATGTATCTATCTATCTATCTATCTATCTATCTATCTATCTATCTGTCGCAGCCTTTTCATATCTATCTATCTATCTATCTATCTATCTATCTATCTCAGCCTTTTCAGTTCTTTCTATCTATCTATCTAAGTCTGTCCATATCTATCTATCTATCTATCTATCTATCTGTCGCAGCCTTTTCTTATCTATCTATCTATCTATTTCAGACTTTTCATATGTATCTCAGTTGTTCATTATCTATCTATCTATCTATCCATCTGTCGCAATCTTTGTATATCCATCTATCTATATATCTATCTATCTATCTCTCAATCTCTCTGTCTCAGCCTTATCATATCTATCTATCTATCTATCTATCTATCTATCTATCTATCTATCTATCTGTCGCACCCTTTTCATATCTATCTATCTATCTATCTATCTATCTATCTATCTATCTATCTATCTATCTCTTTCAGCGTTTTCATATGTACCTAAGCTGTTCATTATCTATCTATCTATCTATCTATCTATCTATCTATCTATCTATCTATCTATCCCATCCCAGCCTATTAATATCTATCTATCTATCTATCTATCTATCTATCTATCTATCTATCTGTCGCAGCCTTTTCATATCTATCTATCTATCTATCTGTTGCAGCCTTTTCATATCTATCTATCTATTTTTTTCAGAATTTTCATATGTATCTCAGCTGTTTATCTATCTATCTATCTATCTATCTATCTATCTATCTATCTATCTATCTATCTTTTTCGGCAATATCATATGTATCTCAGCTGTTTATCTATCTATCTATCTATCTATCTATCTATCTATCTATCTATCTATCTATCTGTCTCAGCCTTTTCATATCTATCCACCTATTTGTTTCAACATCTTCATATCTATCTATCTATGTATTTGTTTCAGCATTTTCATATGTATCTCAGCTGTTTATCTATCTATCTGTCTATCTATCTATCTTTTTCGGCTTTATCATATGTATCTCACCTCTTTATCTATCTATCTATCTGTCGCAGCCATTTCATATCTATCTATCTATCTATCCATCTATCTATCCATCTATCTATCCATCTATCATATTTTCATTTGTATCTATGCATTATCTATCCATCTATCTCTATCTATTTATCGCATCTATCTATCTATCTATCTATCTATCTATCTATCAATCCATCTATCTGTCATCATCTATTTGTTTCGGCATATTTATGTATCTCAGCTGTTTATCTTCTATCATCATCTATCTATCTATCTATCTATGTATTTTCTATTTATCTCAGCTGTACATCATCTATCTATCTATCTTCTATCTATCTATCTATCTATCTATCTATCTATCTCATTTTTTCATATCTATCTATCTATCTATCTATTATCTATCTATCTATTTGTTTCATTTTCATATGTATCTCAGCTGTTCATATCTATCTATCTATCTATCATTCATCTATCTATCTATCTATCTATCTATCTATCTCAGCCTTTTCATATCTATCTATCTATCTATCTATCTATCTATCTATCTATCTATCTATCTATCTCAGCCTTTTCATATCTATCTATCTATCTATCTATCTATCTATCTATCTATTTGTTTCACCATTTTCATATGTATCTCAGCTGTTCATATCTATCTATCTATCTATCTATCTATCTATCTGTCGCAGACTTTTCATATCTATCTATCTATCTATGTAACTGTTTTATATGTATCTCATCTATTCTTTATCTATCTCTCTATCTTTCTGTTTCAGCGTTTTCATATGTATCTCAGCTGTCCATTATCTATCTATCTATCTATCTATCTATCTATCTATCTATCTATTTCAACGTTTCATATGTATCTCAGCTGTTCATTATCTATCTTTCTATCTATCTATCTATCTATCTTTTGCAGCTTTTTCCTATTTATCTATCTATCTATCTGTCGCAGCCTTTTCATATCTATCTATCTATCTATCTATCTATCTATCTATCTATCTATCTATCATATCTTTTGTCGGTCTATGTAAGGGGGCTATCTAGGATTGTTCTGTGGCATCTCTTTCTGGCGGGCATAACGGCTGAAACGCGATGATGATAATAATATCGATGAGTATGGACGTCCGTGTGTAAATAATATTAGCTTCTCATTCAAGAAATTCAGACAGACATTTCCGTCTTAATGTTGCAAATGCGATGCATCAAATGATCATCTAGCGCCGATGAGAAGTTCTTTCATCACATATGTCGTATTCTGATGACGCAACACATTCTTATTTTTTAGTTTCTCTCATATTTCTTTCTTCATTTTTTTCTTTTTTTTTTTTCTCTGTCTCTTTCTCTCTATTCAATTGATTTACTCATTCTATAATTCTCTTTTTTATTTCTCATCATCATTCCTCCATTTATTTCCCGGTGTACACGTCTTTCCGCTCGTCCCAAATCTCTCTTCACATATCAAGAAATTCTGTGCCATCAACTACGCAATAACCCACTGACTTCCCTACCCGCAAAAATCCTATATAGAGTGATTAATAACCCCCTCTATTCCTGTAACTTTAAAATTTCCCTAGGGTGCCTACTCTGATGCTAAATTCCCGCCAAAAACTCCCGCCCAAACTTCACCCTCGTATCTATCACCGTCTACCTAAGACTTGCAACACATTTATATAAATTTTCCGTTACAGTTCCTTATATATATATATATATATATATATATATATATATATATATATATATATATATATATATATATGATGTTTTTTAATTTATTTTAGAAAACAAGATAGAAAAGTAATCCTATTAAAGTGTCCGTTCGTTTCTCTTTCTTTTCTTCCGCCCACGCACTACCGAGAAAAAAAAAAACAACTCAGTGGCTAGACCAACGTACTGTCGGTAATATGATTTTGTTTGAGAGTCAAAGAAAAAATTCAGCATTTTAACGAACTAAAGAAAGTAAAAACCTCCTCCTGTTTATATATATATATATATATATATATATATATATATATATATATATATATATATTTGTATGAATGATTCATTGTAATATAAATTGAACTGTACCACATATTTGATTTAAAATATAACTGATCCGACGTGCAATTTTTCGGGATAACAGCTTCGACATTACTCTATTTATTGAAGAATCTAGTTCATGCCACATTAACTAAAAAAATTCCTACAACAAAAAACTTCTCAAATTACCATATTAGTAAAAAATGCATTCTCTTAAATTCTCAAAAGATTCAACCTTAGCGTTGCGACCGCACGCTCCATTAAGTTTGTATCCGTTAACAATAACACCTTTCTAAGAAAAACATATTTCGATCCGCATTTAATTTTTCGAATCCGCTATTACCTGTATCTGTAATAAAAAAATAAAATAATTTCCATGCCTGAGGATGGCTGAATGTACAGCCGAAAGTACTAGCAGAATAAACTTGAAGTTTTTAAAAACAAGGATCATAACATTCATCGAGTAGTTCGTAGGTTAATGTAACTTTAATAAATTTGTTTGCGAGATGCATTTATATCATTAACTTTACTAATCTACTTTTTGTATGAATGAATCATGTAATATATATATATATATATATATATATATATATATATATATATATATATATATATATGTGGCTTGCTGCACACTTTGACCAGATACAATGGTTAACTAGCTTTTCTCACGAGATCAATTACCACTGATTAGACAGCTTGATCCTCGTTTCGTGCTCCATAATTTTAGCCTTGTGACACTTAGTAAATTGATATGCATATAGGTTACCTCACTGTGTAAACTGTAAAAAGAAATTACTTCTGTAAAGAATTCGATCATTATTGGCGCTCGACATACGTAACGTTCTGCCAGACAAAAAACGTTTTTTTTTTTTCGCTAACTTCAAAGTATATATTAAAAACGGTTAACTAGCAGGTTCTCTTTTGATATCAATAACGGCAGCTATGCGACGTGGCATAGAAGTCTACTCCTGTAGGTTACAATATTACCTCAGTGTACTTTAATTTAACCTTTTTTTATCACCCATCCTTTACAGCATTACTTTTTTTGAAATTATGCTATTATTATTGATTTATAGATTTTTTGAAAAAAAAAAAAAATCAAACATATTTCACACAGTACTTGTGAATAAAGTTTTTTTTTTTTGTATTTCATTAAGGTTTCGGCTACTAGGAGGGACCCGACACATAAAACTCTATCGGAACTTTTACCAATCAATCCGAGGGCTCCAGCTACAAATGGAACTGTTGATATCCTCACGTGCCACATTTTTTAGATTTCGATTTCAAGGTCATTGTATTTTGGTAGTTTTTGAAGATCTTCAAGATCCTGGTCGTCATTATTATTATTATTATTATTATTATTATTATTATTATCATTTTCTTTGATTTCTGGCGTTTACACATTTCTTTCAGGGACCTAAGGTTAGAAATGGCGTCATGACAATTTCCACTGACAAAAAAAAAAAAAAATAAAAATTAAATTACATAGATAAAGCCCTTCGTAAGGTGTGGGCTGTACTTGTCAGAACAATTTTTTGTATCTCCTTGAGGCATGGACTTCCAGGAATCCCATCAATTAGACTACTGCAATCTTTTCCAACCAGTCCTAGAGCACCAACTACAACAGGGATTGTTGATGTTCCCATATGCCACATTTTCGAGATTTCTATTTCAAGGTCCTTGTACTTTGACAACTTTTTGAATATCTTCAAAGATACATTGCAGTCAGCAGGGACTGCCATATCAATAAGGAGGCACCGTTCCCGTTTACCATGTGAATGTCAGAGGTCTTTTTCTTCTTCCTCTTAGGTATGATGCTAAACTACATCCGATGACAAGGCCTCTGATCTGGAGATTGGAGGATTTGAGGAGCATGGAACCGCTATTTAATTGCAGTTGTCACAAAGTTCACCCCCGACCTGATGTGGTAGTACCTATTAGGGTCCCAGCTATGGGAAATAATTAATCCTAAAAAACAATAATAAAAAACTATGAAAGTATAAAGAACACATTTTTATAGTAAATAGGCATAATAAAATTACAATCTATTTTATAGTAAAATGACCAACAATACATCATTATTTGTAGTTGAAGGCAAAGAATTCCTTTCAGAATATATTTAATTAAAGCTATAAAATTGTGTTCAAAATATTTAGATTTTGGCATCAATTAACCTATAAAGGTGTTGATATTCCTCGAAGTCAACCAATCATATTATTATTATTATTATTATTATTATTATTGATTGATTGATTGATTGATTGAGAGAACAACAGACCAACATAAAATGACGTTTTTTTATTTTTTTTATTTTGTCTTTTACTATGATTTTCACCCGAACAAGGCCCTAGAGGCACTCGATGTAGAGAGTTAGATAGACAGGGGCACAACTTATGAGGATATGTACGGAAGATAACGATTAACCCTAGACTTGGAGTCGATTCCACAAGGCAGGGGTACGTGGGAAGAAGTTGCTTTTACATAGGAAAAATAATGTGACAGACAGACAGACAGATAGATAGATAGATAGATAGATAGATAGATAGATAGATAGATCTTTTTCATCAGGGGAATACAAAGAGAACTGTAGTGGTTCCCTTCAATGTTTATTACTAGTCTTAGATCAGTCTGTCAATTATCTATCTATCTATCTATCTATCTATCTATCTATCTATCTATCTATCTATCACGTTATTTTTCCTATCTAAATTTATACTAAGCTAGCTGGAGCAGTTCCTCCATATCTATTTTGGCTTGCTAATATCTAATACCCGCTATCTATCTATCTATCTATCTATCTATCTATCTATCTATCTATCTATCTATCTATCTATCTATCTCAGCCTATTCATATCTATATAGCTAGCTAGATAGCTATTTCCGACCATATCTATCTATCTATCTATCTATCTATCTATCTATCTATCTATCTATCTCAGCCTGTTCACATCTACCCATCAATCTACCTAGCCATCTATTATACACTGTTCATATCTATCTATCTATCTATCTATCTATCTATCTATCTATCTATCTCAGCCTGTTTCTTTCTATATACATAGATAGCTAGATAGATAGTTAGCTATTTCAAACTATATCTATCTATCTATCATTCTATCTATCTATCTATATATCTATCTATCTATCTCAGCCTGTTCACATCTACCAATCAATCTACCTAGCCATCTATTACAGACTGTTCATATCTATCTATCTATCTATCTATCTATCTATCTATCTATCTATCTATCTATCTCTTAAGGAGAGGAACGCATCTCAATAATAAAATTATAGTGGACGAAAGAAATCCTTGATGGACATAAAAGGACAGAGAAAATGAGATTGTGGAAATGTTGATCCCTGTCAATCCCCAGGAGTTTTTTGTGTGAAGACAGATTTTTTTCTCCAATTGCGTGATTCTTACTATTACCGCTCGATCCGAATGCTTTCCTCCCCAACCCCCCGGCCGACAGGAAATCACAACCTGAAAAAGACGAAATTTGACGACGAATGGACATAGCAAAGACAATATATAGACGATAAGTTGTTGCCCATTGGTTAATATTCTCAATTTTATCTTCCGTTAATTGGTCAATGAGAAGCCGGCTTTTATTTACCATATTTTTCTTGAGTCATTTCTTTAATTCTTTCTTTAATTCTTTTTTGTTTCGTGTGGGACGGGTGTCAAAGAAATTTTTTTTTATTGAGCAAGGAAGGTTATAGTTTCCATTATCAATACAGTGCAGCGTATAATTCTAGCAAAAAGATTTATTATGATAAACATATTTCATCATATAATACGCACTACTCACCATTTCATCATCCATCCAGTCCACATCCCTTGTCTTTCAATCAAATGCTCAACGCCCATCTTCTTTGGTCGACCTTGTATTCATTTCCCATGGAATGGTATCCAGAGTAGAACGTCTCCATCTAGTTCATATTTACTACACAAACAGTCACCAGCAAATCTTTTTTGACGTATTGATATACTGGTGGGAGGTATGTTGACATAGAACACTTTCTTTGTTGGGTGAACCTTCCAGGATTTGTTTAGTCCTACTCGAAGCATTCGTGTATAAGCACCATCTGACCTCTTTTCCAGTTTAGCTGTTATTTAGTTTAAGGAGCCATATACAACGACTGGCTCTATTGTAGCTCTGAAAAAAGTTTCTCTTCAGTTGGTCTTGTAGATTTGCTTTCCAAATTTTGTTCATCTGATTGAGCGCTCCCCAGGTATTTCCCAGTCTGATGTTGATATCATTCCCAGTGGAGGCAATATAGCTACCCAAGTATTTAAAGTCGTCTACTTGCTTGATGTTTTCTCCGTTCAGACATTTCCTTGATTCAAGCAGCTGAACTCTTTTTCCCCGCACTGATATACAGTCCAATCTCCGAGGCTACGTTTCGTTATTTTGATGGAGTGAATTTGCATCTTTTAGATGGTCAGCCAGTATCTCTAGTTTTTCAATCATTTCACCTCAAACAAGGCAAAAAAAGAAGCTTTTCTGTTAGTGTCCAATTTAATCTGTGGACTCCAGGCATCAGAGCACTTGCCAAACTGGGTTCAGATTTAAGTTCCAGTAGATTGTCCTTCAGTTATTACATATTCGGGTCATGGATGATTAAGACT